GTGATAGCGGTGATGGTGGGTGTGTGTGTGTGTGTATGTGTGAGGCATCCATCACCGCCCGCATCTCGTAAAGCACCGCTCAGATCTTCTCAAGCACCGAGCAAACGTCCAAGAAGTTCTGAAAGCTCCGCACAGGAGCGCGATGCATGTGAAAATTTTCGGAACGGTCCGCACGGGAGCGCGATTTTCACAAATATGCTTCAAGACGCTTCACACGGGAGTGCGATTTTTTCAAAATGTTCAGGACGCTCCGCACGGAAGCGCAATTTTGCTCAAAATTTTGAAGACGCTCCGCACGGGAGCGCGATTTTTTCAAAATTTCCAGGACGCTCCGCACCGGAGCGCGATTTTTCTTAATTTTTTCAAGACGCTCCGCACGGGAGCGCGATTTTGATCATAAGAGAACGATCTAGAGCGGATCAGTTTAGTATAGAATTGGCATAGAAATATTTCCTTGGAAAATCAAAATCTTAACGATGAATCCGGTAAAACCTATACCAGGCCTATACTAAAACATACCCTCAAGAAAATCACCCTTGATAAGATGAATCGACGAAATTTCGAGGACATCTCGAGCGGGAGCGCGATTTTCAACAATCAACTTATCAAAAGTTTCAAGACGCTCCGCACGGGAGCGCGATTTTGATCAAAGCAGAACGATAAATTTCGAGGACGTCTCGAGCGAGAACGCGATTTTTAAAGATCAATTCATCAAAATTTTCAAGACGCTCCGCACGGGAGCGCGATTTTGATTGAGAGAGAACGATCTTGAGCGAAACAGTTTAATATAGAATTAGTATAGATTTTTTCCTTAAGCGATCAAACACACGAAGAACGAAGCCAAGGAATCCTATACCAAACCTATACTAAAAAGGCCCTCCAAGAACCTCACCCTTGAGAAGACAAATCGACGTCTCGAGCGGGAACGCGATTTTTCAAGACATCATCAAAATCTTGAAGACACTCCGCGCGGGAGCGCAATTTTGATCGAGTTAAAAAATATAAAATCGATAAAAAATCAACGAAATTTTGAGGACGTCTCGAGCGAGAGCGCGTTTTTCGAAAATAGCATCAAGATAACAAGAAATGAGCAGAGGCTCAAAATAGGCCGACTGTCCGACGAAAGTGCAATTTTGATGTTTTTCACAATGTCAAAAATGTTAAACAATCAGCAAAATTTTGAGGACGTCTCGAGCGAGAGCGCAATTTTTGATAAGTTTAAGCAAAAATTTGTCGCGACCCGTTCGTTACGAACCCCCCCTAGCAAGACTAAAGTAANNACGCCGAAATGAAGACGTCTCGAGCCAGAGCGCAATTCATCACTTCACATCAACGCGTCCAAAATGTTTGCGCGACGGAAGAGAACGCTGCAGGTGCCGGGCAACGCACATCGAAATAATTAGAACCCCACACTAGAAGTGGGGAACAATGAGTTCACTGGCCAAGAACAACGAAGGCCCTATTCTGGAAACGATGCTTCGAGCGATCATCGTTGTCGCAATTCAGTTTCTGTACGCCCATTGCATCTGACAATGACAATGCCAGGCAGGAACACAGAGAAAGCGGTGCTTGATGAAATGTGAAAGCTTGCTGACGTCTTTGTGGCAAGGTTTTCCTGCAGGTCTTGCTGCCAGTGAGCGCAGCTAGGCGAGCAAGTGTCCAAAGATACTTGAGATTGCGTGCAGGTTGTCAGCTTTACAAAAAATGTGGCAATTGTTTGCTCGCCTCCGCTATGAAAGACAAACAAGGTGTGTTCAATACATGCACCCAGCAAAAGAGAAGCACGAATCTGCTGGTGCTTGCAGCAATCAGGGATCTGCATTTCACTGCGCGAGACTGGCAGACTGGCATTGCTGGCCGCGTTGTTTGCTGAGTCCACAAGACAAACAACATGCAAAGTGAACTATAGGTCGCTTGGGAGCACAGATGCACAACCGCGCAAGTTCCGTGCACAATGGCAAAGCAATGCAGCGATGTCCTGGATTAACAAGTATGTACAGTGGTCAAAGCACAAGCCATTGCAGCAGAGCCATGAACGCAGAAGGCAAGTACTGCTCCACAAGGAAGCTTCAGCATGGCATTCAGAAATCATGTGCACCGGTTGCAGGGTTTGGTTAAGGCCGCTTAAGGGTGGGGCTTGGGGCCAAGAATTGAAAGCCTCGCTTTAGGCCCACCTGGTTGTGACTGCAGGGCACACCGGAAGAAACACACAAAAAACAGCATCCAGTGATTGTTGCTTGCAGGCCCTTAAACTCATGGCACGTGATCGTGACTTCATAGCTGTTGTCACCCAAGTTCCTGAGTGGTGCACTGACTGGCCAGGGGCGCCAATTTGAGGACCTCCACCAAAGAAGTACCTCACAGCCGCAGAGGCCTTTCTCAGTTTGAGTACACACCTATCCGCCTCTCACGTCATTGCTAGCATGATCTTGCATGCACATATCTTGCTGGTCAAAACCGACAACAGTATGGACATCTAGTCACAAGGCTTTCAGCCAGTGGCAAACGGCAACCAGGCCAGTCTCCAAAAGCAAGAAGTAGGCTATCAGAAATGCCAACTACAGTCCGTGCATGAGGCAAGAGTTCCAGCGCTTCCCAGATTTGTCTTAAAGGAGATCTGGAGAGCTGCGATCCATTCCAAGGCAGATGCTCAAATTCGGTCGGTGCGCATGGTAGTGGCTGCCGCTATCGCACTAGATACGCCCATGAAGCAGTGATTGTCCTGAAGAAAGCCCGTCAAGCAGAGAAGCCTCCAGGTCCCGGTAGAGACATTGATCTCCACCAGGAGCAAAAACTTTTAGCAGCTTTAGCAACATTAGCAGGAGAGGCCTGGAGCGCGGCAATGTTCGCTGAGTGCTGTGCTCTTTTCCGAAAACGGCAATGCCGGTGTGAGGGATGAAGTCAATCTGTTTGCCTCGCAGCATGGCAACCTTCCTGCTTTTTGAGCTGAGTTCAGCTCGAAATCTCAAATGCATGCTGTTCAAATGAGAATGCCATCATGTGCTGCTAGAACAATTCCCTTTCCGTCTCCTCTCTTCACGCAAACGATGCATCTCCGCGTGATCTGGGAGATGTGATGAGGTGAGGTTCCAAGGATCCGGGAATTGCTTTCCAGGAAGCTTGGCTTGGGATTCGCGTTGCAACTTTGAGATTGGGATTGGACTGCTTAGACCTCACCGCCCATATCTCCCGTATGCTAGATGCCGCAGCAGCATCACCCTTCATCAGAAAACGATTTGTCAAGGAGCGTGCTCTGATACTGCAACAGCTGTGTAGACATTGACATGTGCCAGAGAGATGGACTTCTGGCATAGTTGCCCATGCGTGACTGCAAGTTCCGCAGTTGAACATGGTCATCCGAAGGACATTTGCAAGCAGGCCTTTCGCCTGTAGAAGCTTGACACCGGTCATGCCAGGATGCAAATGCAAAATACTTAGTTGCCTGAGTCTGGCAAGCCTGGCAGAGCTTTGACTGTGATGCTGGGATCTGCAAGAAAAATGCCTCCTTGAAATCTAGCCCAGGTCCCCACCGCACGATCCGGCATTGCGCCGTTAGGCACTGGCTCACTGTAGATGAAACCAGCTTCGCAGCGAAACTTCCAGTCTTTGGCGTCATGCCCACCAACGAACCATCGCCTGGCACGTTTCATGAAACTCTGGAGCTGCGTGGCAGCTTGAGAACCAACTTCATTACAACTTGGTAGGAACCCGCCTCGCACGTGAAACTTGAGTAAACATGGTATGCAAAAGACTTCAATGCCCTTCCATCCGTATGAGCACACCAGGCCACAATCTAAGTCTAAGTCTAGTTGACACAAACCGGAGTTCTCCAGAAACCTGTACCAGTGGCGGCGTCAGGCCTGTTCGTTCCGCAATACAACCAAAGATCCGAAGTTGTGTGCTTCCACAGAGGCATGCCGTTTGCAGTCTCTCCAGATACCAGATGATAATCGCCACTGATAACAGGAACGCCTGGAATACTGTGGCAGGATATCGATATCACTTCAGCAGGTTTCTGCTCCACCTGCTCGGGGCTGGCAGGAGGAAGGAACCCAGCCGGCACTGCCGGCTGAGCATGTTGCAACACTGGAGCTCGGCTTGTGGGACTTATCGACCGCACCCGAACCCCTTGCCACGGTGGTGCAGCGGCGACTGCTGCGACTGGTGCCGGACGAACATACAGCGGTCTCAACAGCGGCCCAGGCCGTACTTCACCTGAAGGCGAGCATGGTCTTGAAGGAGCCTTCTCAGCATCCACAGAGAGCTTGATGCTGTCAATTCCTTCCCTCAAGGATCGTATTTCAGAGGTTATCTTCTCTTGGGAGAGGGCCACTTGCTGGCTCACCTTGACTTTCTGGAAGTCCACTGACAGCTCACCTATCCGACGCTCAACTGTATCCCGGAATGTAGCTTGAGTCTCCTGGCAGACCTGCAGATCCTGCCCAGTTTTTTGCAGGGTTCTGCCAACTGCTACCTGACCAGCATTTATGCTTTCCAGCTTGCCACTTAATGCATCCTGATGTTGTTTGACAGAAGCTGCGTGTGCCTCCAGCTCCTTTTGGAATCGCTGCTGCAAAGCTGCATCTTGCTTTCTCAGGAACTCTTGCAGATTATGTTGCATATCCTGCAACTGGGTATTCAGCTGCTGCTGAACGTATGTCTGAGACGCAGAAATGTTCTGCTTCAAGCTGGTCTCCAGCTTCTTCAGCCCTGTGGCATTTTCCTGCTGGACTTGTCCAACTTGATTGGAAATCTCGTGAAGCATATCTGCCTGCAATGGCAACGGAGGTTCGCTGCAAGCGCTACAAATATGCATGCCACGGATTCCCGCACTAGTCCCAAGCTAACTACCTTGTTTGTTGCCACGCTGTCAGATGTAAGCTTCGCCATTTTCCTTGGCTCCAAAATGCAATTGCAGACTATGGACGAGAGATGAACAAGTTAATCACTGCAGCATAGACAAAGTAGGATTCTGCTCCAACTTCGTCATCTCAGTCTGCAGATCCTGTTTGTTCTTCCTCCATGCTTCTTCAACTGCTTTCTCTCGGGAGGCCTTCGAGAAAAAGACTTGGCATTCAAAGTCTGCAGCCTGGTCTGAAGACTGGGGCTCAGACAGTCTCCTGATGCAAACCAGCAGCAGCTTTTTGCACTTCATCTTCAACCTCCTCCACAAAGGACTTAAAGTAATGCAACGCGAAAGACAAGGGGAGGAAAGATGCCCTTTTGGAGATGCAAAGTCTGCTCTTACAAGCCTTTTCCACCCGCGAGGCAACCAGCATTGACCAAACCGATTGATTGAACCCATTCCTGGAAATCACGCAGCAATTGCTGCATGTACTGCCCATTTTACGCTGTGTTGTTGGAGTCAACAATACGTGCTACCCCTAAGCGCTACCTGCACCTCTAGAAGAAAAAGGTCATTTCTCTCCGTTCAGTTTGACAGTAATGTGGTCCTCAGTGTGGGCTCGGATTTTGTCTTCCGCCTCCCTGTGTCGCGCCTCAAGCGCATGCCCCCGAGAGGGGTTCGGCCCGATATTTCTGTTTCAAGCTGAGTTGGGTCCCTTGCTGGCCTTCAATATGATGCTACATGCACACCCCAATAGCTGCGCGGCAAACGGAATTCCCTTCCGTGCGGCTGCCTTGACCATGTGTGTAATGCGCCCACCAACAGTACATTAGTTGTTGGTGGAAGGTTTCCTACTGTTCTGGAGTGTAGTACACCGTGGCGACATTTGTCTCGTCAGAGTGTGTGTAAGCACAGTGAGCCTCTTGAGTTTCTGCTGTATTTTTCCTTTTCCTTTCTCTGTCAAGTGTGTGTGCCGCCTAGAGGGCCACTGTTTTCCAGGAGATCAGCTTGGCTTGGGTTGTCTTGGCTGTGTTCTGTCACAGTTCAAGGAGGGCTTCATATAAGCAACACGGCGCAAAGGAGCCTCGGATGAAATGAGCGCAGCATCTATGAGCAGGGAACGTGAAATGCAGGCAGCGAAGTCACGGAACCCAAGAGGTCTGTCCCCTCTCGAAATGAAGATTCATTCAGCCGGGTGATATAGCTTTGCCCAACCACTCCCGAGGCCCGTTGAGGCAATCCGCGTTAGGCTTTAACGGTACGTGTTCGGCAAGAAGCATCAGAAAAACGCCACGCCTACATGCCTGGCTCAAATGCAGTATCAGTGAATTTTAGCACGCAGGTTTAGGAAATGAAGTTAGGTGAGCGTCCCAACCAAGCATGGTACACTGTAGCATCACAAAAGCGAGTAGAGTGGAGGAGGCGTGTTTTCACAACCACACAAACACTTGCCCGGGAGCGTTGTAGATCCTACTTGTGTTTTTGCGGGGAGCTTGCTTCATAAAACTCTACAAAGACATTGCGGACAGCTTCATTTCCAGCTTCACAGAGCTAATCTCGGGTCCCCTGTTTGCAATCAAGCTCGAGAAGCCCCCCATGAAAACATTGTTGCAACTCTCAAATGGCAGTCAATCCCAAGCAGCATTGGCAGATCTAGCATCCAGACCTGTGTCGATGACTGCAAGGGCACCATCAGAGTGCAGGTAAACGAATAAGCATATGTTCGAGAGAGCAGCTAGTGCGAGTTCCCCTCCAAGGTACTCGGCTTGTACTAGGCCAAGCAGGCAACGTCTCTCTGCGACGAGCTGCGCGCAGTTACGTGCCGTTGGCATAAAACGCTTCTCAGCAGATCCCTCTGCCGGTACCTAGGTGCAGCGTAGCCCCTTTACCGCCAGAAACGCCCTCATACAACTCTCTCACATCCTGTGCACAGGATAGGTGGGCTCAGTGTGCCCTCGAAGTGATGGAGTGCCCAAACCTCCGGGCACTCCCCAGACAAGGGGGAGCAGCCCAAGTGCTAAGCTTTCAAATGTCAGTTTGGCTGACATCTACCTGCATGTTCTGCATTTTGTAATGTGGCTTCCCCATATGCAAATGCCTGCTGCTTCTATAAAAGGGCCCAGTGTACTGTGCCTGCGTCTGATCCTCACCTGCTTTCAGGACTTACAGCCTGTGATGATTTTTTCCCTGCTATTAACAACATGCGGCAGGACATCTAGCGCCACAAAATGACCAAGCAGATGCGGAAAGCAAAGCTTGCACTCCAAGCTTACAAGATAAGCGTGGGAGCTTCCTCTTGAGACAGTCAAGCTTTGAGCCCAGAGCAGGGAAAATGGTGTTTGACCTATGCTTGAAACAAAGCAGACATACCATGGCAGCAACAACCACTGATCAGAATAAAAAGGGCAATGTAAAAACGTGACGCTTGTGGCCTCGAGTCCTGTACCCGAGCGCACACAATGCAGAAAATGCACAACATCAGGCAATACACAAGATTATCCTCTGCAATCAACAATTTATGGGAAGAGGCGTCATGTCCAGACCGTCTGTACTGAGATTTGAAGCATTTCGATTTTGTGCTGCCTTCTATACACAAGTCCTGAACGCAGTGTGTCCTTGGACCACAGTCAAATCAAAACGAATCCACAGTGAAGCATACGACCACAGGTTTGCTTTGATCTCGCTTCTGTGCTGAGGAAGTTGTCTGCAAACTCATCCAAAAGCCATAGCTAATGGAATGCAAGGACTGGAGGCTTCTTGCAATCTCTACTGCGTGTGAGCCTTGAAGAATACCTGGCACTAGTGAAACAAAGGTTAGGGAAACTGACTGCACAATGCATGTTCGGTACTAAAACTATCCAGAACCAGTGCGTCCACAAAGCCTGAAATACAAGGTAACTTGGCTCAAGGCATCAAAGCCTTGCTTTTCCGGAACTCAACCAAAAACTGGCATGCATGGTAATGCTTTCTACTTCAAAATGCATGTGTTTGTTTAAAAGTATGGCAGGGATGAAAAAACATGAGACGACTCCGCCAGGGCATACCATGCCATTTCGAAAGACCGACCAGCACGCGATCAAGAGATGTTGAGGGTCTTCACCATTTGGCCAGGACCAAGACATGTGACAGGCTTTCTCTCGCAGCAGTCCTTGACTTTGCTTTGGAGCTTTGAGAGCAAAGCCGACTGGCTGCGGATCTGCAGAGCACAGGATGCAAACTCATCCCGCTAGGAGCAGTTGCAGTGAACGCTAGAAGTCGAAGCTACGCTCGGGTCCCTTTGCCTCAGCACCCTGCTTCTGCAATCCTTCTTGTTGTGCCTCTGAAGGGTGCTTTGTTTAGACAACGCTGTCGCACTGCCTGCTCCAACGCCGTAGGCAGGTAAAATTGGACTAGTACACCGTACACGTGATCTCAGAAAGGCTTCCTTCTAAGACACCAAATCCCGCTCAGTGAGCACTCCACAATATAAGTAGCCCGCTCGCCTCCAGTTTCTTCACCTGCGCCTCGGCTGGTTCATAAGAGAGAAAGAAAAATTTGTACTTGCTTGGAAAACCAAGCTGCCTTCAATTCCCCAACTGCCGCGTTCATTTGTTCCATGTGCCTCTGAGCATCACTGAATGGGTCCACATCTAGTGCTCTTGGCTTCTGCCTCGTTAGGTCCAGCTCAGCGGCCTCTACACGGTCGATGCGGCTCTTCAACTTAGTCAGGGAGCAGGTTGCCGGCTTGGCATGCTCCTGGCTCTGCCTGCTTGGGTACCCTGCCAGAGCAAAGTGCTGAGCACGCTCCTTGGCCATAGCCTGCCACACTCTGTCACCAACCGGTTCATGACATCTAAGCCCAAGCCTCCAACTCCTGCGTCTGGCGTTCTGATGCAACTTTGGACTGCTGCTCCAAGACCATCACCCGAGATGAGAGCGCCTCAAACTTGGACTCGATGGCCTTCGTCAGGCTCCAGCTCTGCAGCTCTGCAGCTCTACAGCAGCGATGTCACAGCAATCGTCGGATGTATTCATAAGCCGATCTGACTCTGACCTGTTGATTTTGATTTGAGCACAGATCAGATTCCTGCGCACCTTTGGCACAGGAGCAGAGCTGTACAGAAATCGCCCTTTTCCCTAGCATGCCCGCTGCACAGCGGCTTTAGCTACATGGAGACTGCGCAGAGGGCACGGCATTGAAGCACGGGCCATCTTCAAACGTTTACCTCTGCTCTGGTGATTCGGTTGAGTCATTGCTTGCTCAAGCCATAGTCAAGGCTACACATGCTGGCAAGGCGAGGCATCTTGACAATGCCTAGGTACACTAAGCACATGGCCTTCTACCACCCTTCATTGCCGGACGGTCAACTTGCCAAGCCACAATTTCTTGTGCCACATGGGCACCTAATTCTTCTTGCAATGCTGGAAACTCACAGATTCTCTTGCCATGAGATTGCAACATGTCGAGAAGCGGCATGACGCCGGCTGTGGACCTTCACAAAACAAGGCAGCACGAAGGAGCGCATACAGATTGAGAAAAACACATGGAGGCATGCAGCCTGTATGTCCACGCAAAGCCAGCTGCATGCCTTGGAAGATCAAAGATCTCTACACAAACAGTGGAAGCTGAATCTTTCCTCAGCTCAGTCCCCAATCTCACCAAGAAGCTCTAGGCAAAATAATGTCCTTGCAAATCCAAGCTTCCGTTTCAAACGTGGTGCTCAGCTTCCTGCCACGAAAAGTGTAGAGCTTGTCATCAAGAGTGACGAGTTGAACGCGGCGATGTTGGGAAAGACATCAGACGTCTGAGTGCCGTCAACACCCATCCACTCGGCAATAGGCAGCATCCTTAGCAAGGAGGGCGGCAGATGGGCTGCTCACAACTGGCCGACCTGCCAAAGTGGCAGCCAGGAAGCATGTTCTCCCATGGATACTTGGGTATGAGACGGCCACGACCGGCATCCTGCAAGAATGGCAGTTCGGCTCAAAACTTATAGAATCAATTTTGACTTTGTAGCATGCAATTGCAGCAAGCATCATTCCTATTTGCGCGGTTAAAACGGCTTCTTACATTATCATGCAAGTGCATCAGACATGAAGCATGATTTAACGCATGACAGCACACGGCGGCAAGCAAACCATGCCAGCTATCCAGGCCTGAGGACTGCCTTCCTTCAAAGATGCGGGGAAGTCGTTGTAGACACGGCCACCCTTCACAGCACCTTTCGGTAACAATATTCTCAGCTGCTTACGTGCTATGGCTCGATTTGTCAACTTCTCACATCCGCGGACTGGAACAGTTGGGAAGTGAGGATTGCTGTCCTCATGCTGTTCCTCCCTGCCTCCAAGGATGACATAATTGCCGCCCCAGGCGTGGTCGGTTCCCTCACCACCTTAAGCTGGAAGAGGTGAGGCTAGCTTTGGAGTCACAAGGTGAAGACACTGAGGTCTGCACTGTTCGGCGTCAAAGTTCGCGCAAAATCTGAATGCGTGAGCAAGGTCGTCGAGCCAAAAATGCCCTGAGCCTGGCAGAAATTGAAATGAAAGGGAGTTCTCGCAAGAAGCTTGAAATTACAGATTGGCTATGGAATCACGCCTTCATCTCAGTCACAAATGTCTGCAATGCAGCATTGAGGTCTGTAAATCGGTTGTTGAGCTCAAGGCTGACGCTGGCATGCCTGGACAACAGGGCTTAATGAAGTGTGAAATTCCAGCCTTTCAAGAGACTTCGCTGGACTGATCAGGAAAAACTGTTCTTGAGGTATTCGTTCCAGCTGCGTGTCCCAACCACCAATCTCCACCTTGGCAGGACGTTGTCAATGACTGTTGATAAGAATCAGGCCAAACAAGTCCTACCGGTGTCTGATAGATGACAAAGGGGCGAAGAAAACATCTCGTTCCGCTTTGCGCTCTGCACGTGCAGCAATAAGGCGCGCAACTTGTTTGAGTTGCCTTCAGTCTCCACAGCACGTCCCACGCCAACACCGGCACAGCTTCAACAATGGATCAAAGTTTGTGCGTTTGCGTCAGGATTTATTTGCTTGTCAGGCGCCGGGAGAGATCCACCTCGTTGGTTGGATACCTTAGAGAAATTTGTTTAGGGAAACAGGCATTCTGCATAGGAGCCGATGCGCGAAACTTTGACCCGCATTTCAGCTTCAAGCTTCAGCAATATGAGCAGTATCCAGCATTGGGTACGAGGCGCGAAGTCTTTAGCTTTGCCGTCTTGAGCTGTTTGTCCAACTCCTCGAAACAAATTCAAGCAAAGCAGGGAGCTCCGTCGTTTTGGTGGATTCTTCCAGCTAGTCCGTCTGCATAAACATCACGAGACCCGGCTCAACTCTTTTGTGCGCGCGCTGAGTTGTGCGACAAAAGATGGTAGGTACCTCGCGCGGATGGTTTGACGCCTACATCCCCCGTCCAAAATGTCAACAGCAATTGCTTGAAACCTTCCCACAGAAGCCGTATGAGCTCGTCGCTTATGTCTTCCCCCGCTTCTCTGCTGTGGCTGATGGCAACTCATCCGGCGACTCTGACCACTTGCTGTTAACAGGTGAAAGGTCATGAAGGCATCCCAGAGTCCTCGTTGAACGTGATTGCTTGAGAAAATTTCTTCACGAACTCCTCAGATGCGAAAATGCTTGAGGCAGCTAAATAGAATAACTATCACAAAAAGTGTGCATACCTACAGGGCCACTCGCTGAATGCAGCAGCCAGCAGAAACAGTGCCAAGACAAAGTTACAGCTACCACATATGCCTGCATTTTTGAACCGAACATTATGTAATTCAAACAGGCAAGTTCAACTTCTCCCGCCTCGGCGTATATGTTGCCATGGCGAACACTCGTGATGTTGTTGATCACAGTCTTGAGACGCTCATACTTCTCAAACTTAACTGCTCCTGCAATCAAAATTGCCCATGGAAAAGCAATCTCACTTCATCAAGGCCGCGTCCTGTACGTTGATCAATGATCTCTGCCGCGGTTTCCCTACCCTGCGGCCAAGTCGACATGCCAGCCACCGAAAAGGACATGGTTCCTCAATCAGCCAGGAGTGATGCAAGTGGTGAGCTCCACACAAAAAGTTCGGCAAGTGCTCACTTCACGACTCAGTGACCATCATGTTTCCCAATCCTGTGGGCACCCTGCAGGAAATACCCCACATGTCCGCAATTTGTGTCTGTACTACTGTTTTGCCCCTGGCATACCCAGTCCAGGCCTAAACATCAAACGACACAAATCCACGAGACATCAAATGCCAAAGTTGGAAGCGTGACAGGAGCTGGATGAGAGAACCGGCTTTCTGAACAAGCTTCTGTACTTCTGGTTGCCAGCGCCCAATGCATCCTCCAAGCACAGACAGCTAGCCCAGAGCCAGGGTTAAAGGATACAATGCTCATACAGATCAGGCCAAACCAGCCATGTGCCACCAAGACTCAGCAATTCGGCCTCCTGCACCTTTCGAAGACGAGGCAGCATTCTGACAGGTCAAAGTCTGAGCGGCCTGCAGAGTCAGCGTGTTGATCAAATTGACCCACTTCTCCGTGCATAGATGCAGGCGGGAAAGGCACGCAAATGGCGCGGACAAAGCATGACCCCCCAAATGGCAAGCCACGTCTTCGCTACCTAAAATCATATGAGTATCATGCACCCAATTCATAGATCATGTGGCGATTTCGTGACACAAGAATGAGCGGATCATGTGGCCCTGGGGAAGCCTGCTGCTGATCAGAGTGCGAGAATAAGCCAGTGCAACCTGGGCTGGAAAAAGCTGTCAGATGCTGCAAATGCTTTGATTGATTTCTCTTACTTCCCGAGTGATGGTCCTTTAGATGTGAAGAACATGCTTACGTAGCTGCTATGCAACCTACGCAGCCCAAGTGGCTGTTGAAGCTAGCTACTGGGTCAAGGCTATGGGCGTTTTGCCGTTGCTCCTGCAGAGTCCGATTTGGACAAAGGCAGAATGTCTCTCGTAATGTGGCGCCGGGAAGGTCGAGCCCCAAAGAATCAACCAAGCCACGCTCTCCTGCGCCACTCTCCCATTGTGCTTTGCTCAATGGAGCCGCCAAAGAGCCAACGTTGCTGACAAATGCAGCCTCTCCGAGGTCATACAGCTCCTTGAGAATTGGTAGGCGAGCATGAATTCCAAAGTCAGCACACGGCTGCCCTTCGGTTGCTATCCGGTTGAGCTCAGCTGGCGACAATGCAACAGAGCCTGCATGGAGGCTGCATGCGGACTTTCACAGCTCTGCTTGTGGTTCTCAACCAGAATCGTGAAATGAACTTCAAGACTTCAAGACAAGAGGAGTGTTGGATAGTGATTTCAAACATCTTGGAACAGCACGGCCAGCTTCCATGGTGAGATGGGAAGCAAGCTAACCCTTCTTGGCACAGAACTCCAGACCTTATTCCTGTAGAAAAGGATCCGCGGCTCTGGAAAAGCGTCAGGAGCCTTGCAGCTAGGTTCATCCTTGGTACCAAAGCCTCTGCTGATTATAGACACGCAGGACTGGTTTCCACTGCGCACGACAGCTAGTCAAAGCATCAGGAAGTAGCAACTTCAGACATTTCGTGGTATCGGTCAGGAAAGCGTGGATCGCCAGCAGGTGGCTCAAGTGCACGGGAAGCGGAATGACAGCAGGAGAATCATGCCGAGCCCAGGTTGCCAGTTGTTTATGTATTTTCGGACGGGAGCCTGGGACGGGCGGGTCGACACTTGCACGTGCCGCTTTCTTGGCCTGGTTTGCAACGTGCGAAAGCTGATGCTGCAAAAAGGGATCCCAAAAGTTGCCTTCTCGTCATCTAGCAGCAACACCAGAAGGCCAAGAGAGAAATCAAGTCACAGCTGGGCACAGAAAAAGTAACCTCCTGGCTGACCCAAGACAGCTCGCCGCGCCCATTTCTCGCCATTTCCCATCGAAAGTGCTTGCAGGTCCGGCATGAAGAAGGACACACAACACAGAGATCAAACGCGACAAGAGTCAAAAGAGAGGAAAGGAAGAATGAACATGAACCTGACATGTAGCAAAAGGCGCCAAAAACCTATTTGAGATGAGAGCCTGACACCAGCACGCAGATGAACCTGCCCTTCAAGAAACTAGATTGTGTCGTGCCATGCAGCCATGCATCATGTTTTTCATGTACCGAGAGCAAAGCAAAACAAGCCAGCTGCGTATCCCACCTCGAACTTCCTGATACTCGTCATAGAGCGCACAGTCCATTGGCACTAGCATGTTGAATGTGTCAGCACCTCGAGCGGTCAGTCAACGGTTTGCAAGACTTAGTATGCACGTCAGCATGGACCATCCCTACCAAGAATGGCGCCCATCTTCACTGAAGTTTGTTGATTCTTGTCGGCTCTAGACTGTAACCAAGGTCTCCCAAGATACAAAGTCATGTTGTTTGTGCATCAAGCCTCTCCCTTTTGTGTACTGTCTGGCATCTGTGCGCTGCAGTTCATCCGTGGTCCCCTGATGGTCTGACCCTACCTGCAGATCTGAAAGCTTCTGAATTCTACCCAATGCACAACTCAAATTGCTCAAAGGCACCACCATTCAGGAAAACCATCACAAGTGCTTTATAGGATCGCGGATCACTCGCTACCTCCGGTGGTTCTGGAACGCGTGGGCCCATCGGTGCAGGATTGCCAATTGTGTGGAACTCTGGTGTCATCACCATCGCCATCCTGAGGTATGGTTTAAAACGTTCGTGAAATCGCGAGAAATGTCACAATTCCATTGCCAGAAGAGGATCTGTGCGGTCTTATATTCCTGGCCACCTTCTGCATCTTCCCAAGCGTGCCGAATGACTGCTGAGTCGTTTAGGCGTCCACCTTTCAGACAGAAGCAACGGATTTGTAACAAGTCTTGTTTGGGCAGTCATCCATGAATGAACGTTTCACTTTCCCTGAGCCTGCAAATTGATACAGCAAACTGTGCATGTAACTGCGTCATCTGTGTACTTCATTTTATCACAATGGTGCTGTATAGTGGTCCTCCTTCAGGCGTTGCTGAAGATGGCGCACAGAACCGGCCCCTCATGACCCGTCAAAGTCATAATCACTCGACCAGAATGTACTGACCACAGCTTTGCGGAGCCATCTTTCCCTGCTGTAAGAACTGCGGCCCCGTCTGAGGAGAAGCAGGCTGAATACACAGGCCCTTCGTGGCCCCGCAGTGTCTGCACACTTCGACCACTCGCTATGTCCCAAACCTTGCCGAGCCGATCCCATCCGGCAGTTACAGCCTGTCGGCCATTCGGGGAAAAAGCCGTACCATACACGCAGCCTGAATGTGCTGTCCCAATCGTCCGTGGTTTGTCAGCTCCTGCCCTCCAAACCCTGGCAGACCCATCAGCAGAGCTGGTTAAACTCAGTGTTCCATCTGGAGAGAACGAGCCTGAGTACACGCCTCTCTCATGCGCCAACACTGCCATGACACACCCACCAGTGCGAGCACTCCAGTATCGAACAGTACAGTCTAAGGACGATGTCATGATCGTAGCACCTTTTGGCGAAAACGCGACTGCCTGGATAGCTCCACAATGACCTTCCAAAGCCATCAAGGGCACACCAGTCTCGTCCCACACAATGGCCACACGATCAACACCGGCAGTCGCAAGAAGCCTCTGGTCCGGTGAAATAGCAACTGCATTGATGCCCTCTAAATGGGCAGTCAGCACAGCTTGACAGGCTAAACTCTCCAAGTCCCAAATGCGTGCTGTGCTGTCTTCGGATCCTGAAAGGAGGCGCGCATTGTCAGAGAAAAGGGCCAGACTGGTCACTGAACAGGTATGACCAGTCAGTGTGGCTTGACACTCGCCACTGGTAGCCCCCCAGACCTTGATTGTGCCATCTGCGGAAGCAGTGAAGACCTGCACCCTTCGACAAACACAATCCAACGTGCTTTTGTCTCGTAGGCCAACATCCCCCAACCTTTCACGGGCTTCCAAGATACGATCACGAAACACAAGCTTGATAGAGGTACCAGTGTCAAGGCGGGCAGAGACAAGCTCTTCCAGGTGCTGCACAGTGTCCTGGCTTGAAACGGTGATGTCGCCAAGGCTGGATCCAGATACAGCCCATCGTATACTCAACGTCATAGGCTGTCCAGCCATGCTACTGAAACTCTAGTGACTCTAGTGGAGCCTTGCTAACTGTTACACTGGTCAAGCTGAGCGGTACGCAGATACAGGCTAATGCAACGGACTGTCTACGACAGCCCACCTTTGGGGAATACACAAGTTTGATAATAAAACGGATTCCACATCCAGCGGATGGTGCTGAGGCCAAATGCGGCTGAACATATTGAATAAGCTCATTGAATGGCTCAACGGTTGTTTGCAAGGAAGCTTCGTTGATTTGCAGATCAGCTGTGGGTGGGTTGGCTGATTTTGGCTGGACAGATTGCATGCCGAATTGGTCGTCGGTTGTTTGGTGGGTTGACTGCTTGATTGAGCTAAACCCAGAATCCGCCGAACCCCCCCTCCTAGAACCCCTCCCTCCGCCCACTGCCCCCACTTCACTTAAAAACGCCAGCTTTCCAGTAGGGGGAGTTTGTCCTCCTACCCCCTGGCCCCCTGCCGACAACTTTCCATTCCGGGCGCAATTCCCATTGAGAGGGTAGCTGGCATTCAATTTCCCAAGGTTCCAGAGCAGCAGTCGAGCCAGAAAGGCCGTAATACCAAGCCCGATGCCCTCCTGCCATGGAATGACCATGGCAAAGGTTCCGTCAGGCACAGCTTTCGATCCACAACCTTCAGCCGCTTTCCCGTTCCAAGGCCCCCGGGGTCTCAGAGGCACCTCGGTCCGAAAATGTCTCCTCACCCTGTCAACCCCCCCTCCAGCCCCATGCCCTGGCCCCCCCCCCCAGCCCGCTTTGCGTTTGCTCCATACAACTCATCCTTCCCCATTTCGTTCCCAGACCCGCCTCCAAGGCTTCCAGGAGCATACGCTTTCCGCAAAACCACCACCCCGCCACTTTGAGGGTAGTCTTGGCGGGGCTGGGGGGGCTTTGCGAGCGGGCTCTCGTAGGGGCGGTGCGCGCCTCTGTTACTCTTGCTCTCGCCGGCTCTTGCTGTTAGTCATGAAGGCGGCGCTGCCGGCCCTCGCCGCTAGCTGCTGCTGTGGTCCAGGGCGAGCCCATGTCTCGCCCTGCAGGTGCTCACGACCCCAGACCCAGCATGAGGGTCCATTTCTTTTGGCTCCCTGCCCTTCTCCCCTTGAATCCAAACTTTTCTCAGCTTGGACCTAGGACTGGCCTTGGCGCCAGCGTTCAAGAAAGTCTTTGCTCGTGATGTTCTTGGGTGTCGAGAAACCTCAAGTTCCTTGAGAAGTCTCTGGGGAAAGCCTCTAAAGCACATGTAAATTTGAGGCTGCTTTCGGGTAGAGAAAGGGATGTCCAATGACCTTATATGTGCGGGATCGAAAGGAAATGAGGGCCCAGACAGACAGGCCCAATGCCTGGTTTTTACCACATTTGCGCATGTATTTCCGCACCTTCGAAACTCCTGTGCTGCTACCATTCTACACGAATCTAAACTACGGAATATGGCACACTGTTGCTTCGAAATTGCAACCATCAAAATGAGCCAACACATACCAAACTTGCTTATAAAACGTTATCAAAAATCACTTTGGATTGGTTTCCTTGGGCTTTTCACTAGTCATGGCCCCCGACAGAACACCATTAGGCTCTACTTGGGTTCCCTCAAGGGTATGAAGGGCTCCAAGGCGAGAAAATGACAGCATCCATCTAGCGGACAGGAACTAGTGCGGTTTTCTGGAGGTGGTCAGGACTTCACGGACAAGCAGCAGCAAACGCTGAGGGTTGTTTGGAGCCAGTTAGGGTACCGGCCAGTGCCGCAGGCCTTACTTGCCGAATTAGCTACTTGATTCATGAACTGATGGGTTGAAGGAGCTCGTAACTTCTCAGGAAGACAGAACGTTAGTCTGCTGCTGTCAGGCTAGGGGTCCACATTTTTGGGCAACTGGTTGATTGATTTGCGGTTAGCTCGCTCAGTGGTGTCAAGTGCTGAGCAAAAAACACAGCCAGCCAACTTGTGAACATCAGTCCGGCACCTGTGAGAAGCAGGTTCAGCTGATCAATAGTCGGCTGCAAGCACTCCAACTCGCCAAGGTGAAGCTGTCCGTTGGAGCAATTCTGAGGAGCATTAAACCCAAATCCTCCCTCGCAAGGCCCCAAGCCGAGCTCAATCAGAGAAGTAATCCCGTTCGCGAAGCTGATTGCCATGGGAGGTGTGAAGATTTGGAACTCAGGTCCGACCATGTCAGCAGGAAAGTCAGCGGGCATAAAGCCTGGCAAGTAAAAGTTAAATACCGATGGAGAACGGAAGGGGAATTGGCCAATCATCGGCATCAGATTCTCGAGCAGAACGTTGCGTCCAGTGCCTTAATGTTGCACTCACTTTTGTGTAGGGACCCTCTTTAATGTGTTTTCGCCGCCGCTTATTCAGGACATGGCCATTGTTTGGGTGCCCCTCCAAAAATACGGGACCGAGTCCAGACCATCCCTTTTAAATAATCTCCAAGGCCTCCCAGGGCCCTCAGTACCGTGGGACCCTCAGTACCGTGGGACCCTCAGTCAGGACGTCTAATTTCCGTTTTATGGGGGCCCTGTTGTTAGGGGGGGCCCCTAAGATTAAAGAGGGTGCAACATTACAAGCGAACAACTGAGTGCCATGAGCCATTCTAGGCCCGATGCTGCACTCCCAAACATGCAAAAATTGCTGATCCAACCTTGAAAGCAATGTTTGAAAGCCATGTGTTGCCGGGTTGCGATCCTTGTACTCCAACGATCTCATAAAATGCATCACCTTCCGGGTCTCAGAGGTTGCGCAAAATTTCTTTCATACCCCTTCGCTACGCCTCAGGCTCTCCCAATACTGTGCAAGTGTCTTGCATGCCTAGACTGCACTCTCGGATCTGCAGTCATTCCATTGCTGAAACATTGGAAACATTCTCTCAGCTACGGCTGTGGCTCTGCTGCAGAGGACTTCGAAAGTTAAAAAGCTGCCACATGCACATCACCTTCAGCAGCGGCTCCCTAAGCGATCCATCCGCAGCTGAGCTTGGAGAAAGTGCTTCGCGGTACAACAATACGGAAGCAACAGCAGCTCCCAGGTCCCCATATGCCTCTGCAGCTGTGCAAACGGTTGAAAAAGGGAAAAACAGGAATGCACCAGGAAAAGGTGTCGAAAAGACTTGCTTGTTCAAGCGTGCTGCACCGCTATAAACACGTCCATTGTACTCACCAGTTCTAAATGCCTGCGCAACCGCCCCAACATATTCTGGCGATGGGTTTGACATGCCGAATCGCTGGATCAGACGGTAGGAAATGAAAGGGGCAGTGTTGTTGTGGTAGAAAAGATGATCCAACAAGCTCTCCACTTCTGCATGTGCGTCCCTCTCACGAGGATTCTCCAAGGTCATAAAGGCCGGTGGGTTGCGGAACTCGAAGCCGGAAGCTTTGTCACCTGCGATGACTACCACTTCCTTGTTCTTGAAGAACTTGCCATCAAACTCGAACACAGTCTCGGGATCAATCATGCCAGTGGCAGAATACATGCGCACAGGTCCCGAACATGCTTGATTGCACTGGCCGGATGGTGTCACTGCTCCGATCTTCAATCTGTGAATATGATCCACCCCAGGGATCTCAGTGAAAACTTGACGAACTTCCACACCCATAGTGCAGGAGCACGCTTCACCTGATGCCTTGCATCCTGCTGGACATGTTGTGGCAGTTACCTGGGGGTATGAGTTTTTCCAGACAACGGAAAATGCATTTTGCAGCGTTCGGCTGGTCAGATTTGAGCTGACCTTGCCATCAGAATGCACGACGACTTCGTACGTGCATGTTTGGGGTGTCCAGACTGGAACCTCATCATAGTCACATTCATAGCCTTCCAGACGCTCCCAACCTCATTTGAGAACAACGTGACCTTTGCCACGGAACATGCAATGACATGAATTAGATGAAGCTTCTTGTTGCTCAAAGCCACAGAGCTCTAGACCACGGGCCGCACACTGACGCACAGCAGTCGCCATCCTCACGTTTTCCATGGGATACCCGCAAAGTCGCTCGCCACGCCACAAGCCCTTCGTGCAGTCATCGCCATCCTGCTTGCAAACGAGTGCACCACTCAGCAGTTCCGTATAGGGCAGGTGCAGCAGCCTTGTGATGCAGAGACCATCGTAACAGAAAGGGCAGGGTGCCGACGAGTGTCATATCCGGCATTGTTCTCCCAGCATGCGAGACGACACCATTTATGCTCTGCCCAAACCTCATCATGCTTGCACTTCTCCGTGAAGAGCTCTGGGCACACCTCTGTGGCCTTAGCACTCACGCGGCCACGGTCTGCAGGGTAGCTGCGAACCCTCGTGCATGTGGCATCTGTTGGCATGCCGAGCTGCATTGTCACAAGAGCATTTTTTCCAGTCCAACCACCACCAATCCTTGCGATTCTTGCATCCACCGCAGCAAGCAGAGCCTCCAGATGCAGCTTGCTCTGAGATCTCAAAGGTGTGACTATGGCTGAAGGTCAATGTGGCATTGTCAAAAAACCTTTCCCCAGAAGTGTTGTAGCCAAGGTGTTCACCTGCAACTGGAAGATTCGGATCCTGGCATTTATCAGTCCATCCCCAGGCTCGACCGCCTCTACGAGTGACCTGAATGTGCAGCCAGGGTGTGCCTCAGGACGCATGGGTTGTCACGGCCAGGCAACTTGTCCATTGAAGAAGAACATGTTCACGCACGTGGGCGGCACATACTCATAAAAGCCTAGCAGGTAGAGCTTCGGTGCTGACCATCGCAGAAGTCAAAACATGCTGCACGGTCCGAGGCCTCCAGCCACATTCACAACAAAGACCGTATCCACAGCACATTCCTGATTGCTGCACGCAACGTCCTGTGGCAGCTCTATTTCCGGACGATAGCTGCATGCGGATCCACCTGCCATGTCAAACGGACAACACATGCTTGTACTACCATCGCGTGTGCAAGTACTCGTGCCAAGAAACTGGATGCACAAAGCTGTGCGAAAAGGGCTGAGCCCGTGGTCAAATTCAATACCTGGCACTATGATATGACATGTCAAAGCGGACCTCAAATCAGTACATGTGTTGGCGGGACCTATATATATATATATATACCCAGTGAACGCACTGTTAAGTGAAAGGTCCGGAGCACTCAGATGTGTCACAACATGGGCCAAGTGGAGGCAAAGATTGTCTGTCATAGAGCGCATGGCATCTACAAACTTCAGTGCAATTTGCCATTTCTCAAAAGAGGCGCATCCGTTCCAGCGTACGTATGCCCAAGGAATTCATATCGAGCACCTAGGCAGGCACGCTCACCTATGCTCGAGCAAGCTGTTCTACATGGGATACAAGAGCAGAGTGTAGCTCCAAGTCACCCTTTCGCAAGAAGTAGCCCACAGGAAGGTCGGAACATAAAGGATATCCATCTCCCAGATAGCCGCTGTCCAAGTTCGGCTTGGGGTAAACATCACGCCATCTAGCCTGCAAGAATTCAAAAAAAAGAGCGCTGTCTCTGCTTGGACATGCAGGTGGCCTGGAGTCGCATTGGATCTATGAAATTCCTGTTCCAGACCCATTCAATGTTATCACGGTCAGGCTGCTCATCGAAGCCTGTCAGTGACAGAATAACGCAAGGGGCTGCATGCCAGAAAAAAACTCAGGCTTGGGCAGTGCTGCTTCACATGGTGCTAAGCAATGCAGGGGACAGGCAACTTTGTGTATCATCTGACAAAAGCAAACCATGTATGGCCTGTGAAAACGCGCGCGAAATTCATGATATGCTCGTTGGTGTAGGTTGGGATATCTTGCCCCAAGTCATCCTTCATTCTTGTACCATCCTCCTTCAACTTCCACAGGCCAATTGTGAAGAGCTGCATAATCTCCCTGCACAAGGAGCACGGCATTCAAGCTATGGGAAGCCAGGGCCATCAAGAGCATAGCAGGCACATTAATGGTGCACAGACACACTGGCAGAAAAAGAAGGGACTGCCATGGGGCCTGGGTTTTGATTTTGAATACCTAGATTTCCCTCATTTGCTGGTTCTTCCATTGTCAAGGCCCCCATGGCAAGCTGTTGCGTAGGATGAAGGGAACAAGGTCCCTTGGTTTCAGGCTATGCCGCTTGAAGCTCGGTTTGGCTCTCATGCGCTAACAGTCCTTGAAGACGGCTCATGCAGACCACGCTGCTTTCATTTTGCGTTAATCTGGGGAGGCCCTCTTGAATTCCCTGAACCCAAAACAATCCATAGCCGGCTCTCGAGCCCACCAAACAAAACCAAAAAAACAGCAAAGATTCTCACACTAATGCGAATCCTTCTGACTAGTGCAGAATCTTTGGTTTTTGTGTGTGTTTTTGTTTGTTTGTTTGGTGTTTTTTGTTGTTGTTTGGTTTTGTGTGTTTCGTTTGATTTCCTTTTTTGGTTTCCGCGCCAGGTGACGCTCCAGACTACCCTTACCTCGCGCCGTGGGTTGTCCTTTGGGGCTTTGGGGTGCAGGGCTTTCTTGGGCAAGATTACTCCCTTGTCTATGTTGCTACTTTGCCGAAGTGCTTATAAGCACTCCGGCTGCTTATAAGCAATCCTTCTGCTTATAACCAGCTGGAGTGCTTATAAGCACCAGGAGGCTCGTATAAGTACTTGTTCTATTGGTCTGACAATCAACTGCACTGATATGCAAAAAGTGTGCAGCATGAAACCATGAGTGAGTTAATACCCGTACTGTGTCTCAGGGATTGTGAGAAAGGTTCATTTGTGGATCTCCGTTTTTGGGGTTTTTATAAATATGACAGAATATAGTAATGTTGAAAATAAAGTTTAAATGAAGCCTGAATTCACAGCTATTTACAGTGTTGTTGACATGTTCGCTCAAGAAAGTCAACGGGAGGAGCTCATGCAATAGGTGTCGAGGTTGGTCTGGAAGAGGGTGTATATATATATATATGCATGCATATGGGCTCAGGGATATACCCTCCACTACATTTCGTAGCATGTCTCAACAACTTCCATATAGGGCTCATTATTCTCATTAGGCCTTATACGTTCCATTAGAGTGCTTCATATAAGTATTGCAATCCTTCCTTTTTGAAAGAAAGTATTCTGAGGGAATCCTTTTCGCTACAATGTTGGTGAAGGGTATCCAAAATGTGGTACGTTCTTTCTCTATGGTCTTTGTATGCAAGGAGTGTCAAATTTAGTTTTTGCGTGCACGAATCGAAACCATTTCCTCAATAAACGTAATACTTGCAATATTCCAACGGTTTCTGAAAGATACTAGATCTGTCTCGATGAAAAAAAAGTCGCAAATCCTTGGCCCTGCATTTTGCCAATTAACAGACCCTTGCTAAATTGGTTAAAGAAGATGCAAGATTCTCTGATTATGGGCTCCTCACATTCCCTTACAATCCTTATGAAAAATGCTTGAGGTTGAAGGAGGGAGCAAATCCTGAGCTTGTGATTTCTGTTTGCAAGAACGCTTATGACATGATTTTGAAGAAGCTCTCTCAAAATTGTGCTGCTTCAAAGCTACAAAACTCTCAAATCCAAGGTTCTTCTTCTTCACCGTGGAAACAAAGCCTTTACTATATGTGTTACAAATTCTAAACAAAACTTATGAATCTGGGCTGTATTTCTATTTGTAAATGTCACATTATAGGTATTTCAAATTTAACGAAGAATTCTCAAGTCTTGGGCTTCTTTCTTCTTTTCTCTACACAATTCCTGAGTAAATGTCTCTCAAATTTCAAGAGGACATAACACGTTCTTTGGAATATTGCATCTATTGGAGACCATGAGAATATTCTTGATAATGGGCTTATAAAGAAAAAGCCCAAGACTCGAGAATTTGTATTTGAATTTGCAGCATATTTTGTAAGGGATTTGTACATAGAGAAATGAGTAAAACAGGAGCCCAGGAGTGCAATAACTATTTTGAGCCCAAAGCAATCAAAAACTCGATAAGTAGGATACCGGTAGAACTTAGCCTCAGTTCTTACGATCAGAATGGAAGTCTCCACAGATGAAAACAAAAGACACATACAATTGGCTCAAGAGAAGTGGAAGCTGCAGTTCTTTGCGCGTATTTCTCTTGATCCCATAAAATTCAATAGAATCAGCTGAAGCTTGAGCTCTCTTACATTGCCAAAGTTGGCTGTTGGAGGTGGACGGAAGAGCAGAGGACCGGGACCGAACGAACCAAAAAACACACAAAAAAAAATGTTTTAAAAAAAACACAGGCCCCATAGTGGCAGGCCGCTCTCAGACAAAACAATCAAGTGAGACCCGAATATCCCTTGCTCAGCACTGACCACATCTGTCTTGGTATGAAGAACTTAGCATGACAGCCATCTGAAAACGCTTTGTAAATCAGCTGAAATTGCATCGCAGGCGCCGAGCAAAGTTCTCGTCCGGATAGTTGTTGCTCTCATCAAAGGCACGATTTCTTTTGAAAGTTAAGTAATCGCCCATGATCGGGTTGTAAGTGACCTCTCGTAAAACGTCTCTGAAGTTGCCGAAGGCATGTCGCACAAAGATGTCGTATAGGTTCAACCACATTTCATTCTGTCCAGCGAAATTATCACCAACAATGGCAACAACAAAGATCTGCGACAGCGCCCACGCCGTTCGCTGCCGGAGCTGGTCATTGCCATAGAGGGCTTGCATGGTCCAAACGGCGGTCTTTGCCAGTCTGTCTGTGCCCCATCGTGAAAGGTAGTCCATGTCGAAGTGCCAGTCATATTCACCACCATGCGTGATGGACAACTGATGGCCATGAAGAGGCTCGTTCGCAACTTCTCCAGGTGAGCCGCACACAAGTGATACTTCGTCTCCTGCTTGACCACTGCTGAAGTCATCTAGAATGGCCTCACGGAGGCAAATGCAACATTACCATCAACTATCAAAGCTCGGGGCAACTGAAATCCACCATACTTTTTTTAATCGAAAAAACTTGGCTTCCAGATTGTAGCGCGGAATGACATACAGGAGGCCATTTTGGACGCTGCTGGGCCTGGGTTTGTAAAGGCTGCGGCAGCGTCTGCAGCAAAACCACCTCGTTGTACTTCCCCACCAGATTTGGTCGAAGAATGCCGGGAGCACTTCCAGAATCCCAGCGAGACATGTCATGCCAAGAAGGAAAGACGAGCTCATAGCCCTGGCTGCAAGAACTATCAAGAATGTTGCGATAAGGTGGTTCCGAAGGAACAGCGAAAAGGATACGAAAGGATTTGGCAAGGCATTTATGTCGGGTGCCAGAGTTCTAGCACGAGTATGGATGACTCAGCTCCTAAGCAAAAATCACAGACAGTGGCATTCAGAGCCTGCCTCTATAATTTCGGGTAACGAGTACACAGCTCAGACGATTCTCTTCTTGCATCTCAGGAGTTGGAGACAAAAGACATGGCTCATCCTTCTTCCCTCGCTTGCTTTGCGACGTTGCTTTCAGTGCTGTTTACTACTTACAAGTGCTGCGAGAGGCCGTTGGGTCAAAGCTCATTCTGAAGGCCCTCTTGGTGAAGGGTCTAATGGCAAGATCCAACTCAGCAGTACAAAAGCTTCATTGAACATCGGAAAATATGGCGTAATAAATGAAAGTAGTTCAACGTCGGGTGGCCTGGCCGGTCCACTGGGTGATCTTGTCCCGACCACCAGGATGGGCTGCAGCCCAATCGGTAAAGTCAAAAACATTGTACTCATCCAAGTGAACATGCTTGAAAGTCTCAGCACCAACTTGAACGACCGCTCCTGCTGGAACAGAGCTGCACTGGATGGTCGTGTCACGAAGCCATCCCTGTGATGCCTCTGCCGTGAGGTGTGACTGGACAGACTGTGCATCACCAGCAGGAAGGGAGGTCACAGAGCATGAGTCCACCTGGCAATCCAGCATCTTCCAGCGTGACCGCCGATTGCATGGTGACTGAGAGGCTCGCAAGCCTCTAATTGCATATACGTATCGTCCCCCAACCGTGAAGAATCTCTGGAATGTTGCCGCATTCAGGGTCAGCTGGACATTCTCCACCCCAAGAGGCAAACAGCCTGGTAGAAGCTTACAGCTCTCCTTGTTGACAAATGTTTTGCTCACTGCCGGGCAAACCCCTCCAAGCCATGAGCCAGCAGAAGCAGGGTTTTCCAGCGTGTTCTCCACTAAGCTCAGGCGGGTTTCCAGCATGTAGAAACGGCTATCGCCTTCCATGTCAGATTGGACCGTGGTGCCAAGGTTGCATGGGTCAACGGACTCGGACATAATGATCACGTTTGGACGGAACACAGTAAAGCTTAGCACCTGTGTCATTTCGGCAGTTGCGGTTGCCATCCAAATGTGGGGATTTGTCATGGCCCGCAATCCAGCAGCACAGTCCTCTGCCGTACCTAACTGCACCCATGCTCCAACTGCGTTTGCTTTAACTCTGCAGACATAACCTTCAAAGTCCACTCCTGACCAACCGCCAGAGCAGTCATCTCCAGCATAACCATGCCCCTGATCGAAACATGTCCTCTGGCAAAGCTTCTCTTCCTTCCAGAAATCGTCATAGCAATTCCATGCCATGCTTTCCTGGAACGCAACACGATTTCAAGTCACCACACAGGCTGTAAGCAGCAGCCAACTGGATGCTCATACTGGGTAACAAAATGCTAGCTAATGGGGCTAGATGACCACATACCATGATGTTGCATTTGACAATTCAGGCTGCTTGCAGACTCGAAGCAGCCTCGGATTCACATGTCAGACCTCTGGTCTGCCAGGAATCTGGCGGGTTGTTGTTGCAAGTCTGTGGAGGATCCATGCCGTTGCCTCCGCATTGTACTTTCTGGTTGGCTTCAGAAAGGCAGATCATAAGAGGTCACATGTGAGCTACTGTCTAAACTCCTAGTATCCCCCTTAATAACCCCTATAGTAGTCCCCTATATAATCCCTTACATAACCCCCCTGTAAGGAGTTTAGACTATGGCTCATGTGACACGCTGTACAATTGGCAAAAATGTCCAAGTTAAACGGAAGACCATGAATCTAAATTTAAAGCTCGTGGCCTACATAGGCTGGGTCTATGTCAGCACGATGCAGATTGTCCACCAAGATCCGATTGCCTCTTACCTGACGACAAGTGGAAGCAGGTACAACAAATCACAAGCAGCAGGAAGCATCACTGCCTGCCTTGACCGGACGTCCAACATCACGTGTCAGGAAAGTATAGCCGACCCAGCGGGAGCCCTTCTCACATCTGGAGCGTGCGTTGCCAATCATGTCCCCATTGGCGACGTCCTCCCTCACAACGTTATCAGTTCAAACTGGCCGGACATGGCTGCACTGCACTGCGCTAGCCGAGGCTCGGGAGGATGTGCGGATTCACTCGCTGTCCTCAAGCAGAGGCAACCCTACAATCACTAAGTCGATCACCCTAAAACCAGACAAGGCACTCCAATACGCTCGGTGTAGTCCAGCTGACAATCGCATCTGCTCATCAATCCAGGCTTCATACGTCTTGTTGGCAAGCTCTTGTAGGCTTGACAGCGTAGGGCCAAAAGTGGCTCGTATAAGAAATTGAGCCTCGACAGGAACGACTTCGGCTTGCAGACATGTACAGATTGACAAGCTGACTATTGCTTGGTATAGAAGCAGGCAACATCAGCGAGGCTCGTCCATTGTGATTATCGAGCGATAGCAGCGATGCTAGACAGATTTGCGAGCACATGAAGCATCAGCGCCACAGACAGGCTCAAACGATCAGCAACTATCAGTTACTTGGACCTGGTTCTGCTACGTCTCATGGTGATGCCTGAGATTTTCATTTTGGCCCGGTGGTGGCCGCGCTGGGCAAGGCCCCACTGAAAAGGCCAAACCAGGACGATAATACCGAAAACGAAACAAAGGCACCCCCCACAGAGCAAGTGTGACAACAAGGATCTCCCGAGCTCAAATCTCTTCTTGCTGCTCCAAACAAAAACTTGTGAGAGTTCCTGCACAAGGTAATGGCAGCTAGGAAGGTCGAGATCCCCGACAAAGGTTCTCATCCAATCTCATCTGCTGAGCTGGCAACGACTTTTGAGACACGAGATGAGCACGTGCCATTCAGGATTCGCACGCCAGCATTTGGTGGACAGTCGCCATAAAAGTTGTGAAACGAGTGCCGCCGATCAATGGTAAGCTCGAACGAGTGCCCTTACTTAAGGCCAAGCCCCAGTTATTCTTTCTGGGTCGCAGATGGACGTCAAATTCCGCCGCCGAGTTGCGTGTCCGTATTCCACGCTGACGACATGATCAATGCAAGTTGTGATGTGACAGCTCAACCACAAAGTACTGCGTACCAACGCGAATCGCTCTCAGATGTGGGCAAGAATCTGCTCTCACACGGCTATGACTCAAGATGACGGCAGATGCAAGTGCAAGGGCAAGTAATCGAACTCTCACACAAAATGCGCACATTTGTATTGCAAAGCCGAGGCACATGGTCCACCGCTGAGGTGCCAGACAAGGTTGTGGTGATAGTTGTCGGCGCCGTCGTGGTTTGCATTGCGCCAACTGACAGGAGGAATTCCAAGACTTAACACTCTCGGTATTGTGTTTGCGTGCTGGCCTCCATGGTAGCGCAGGCACCTGAAACAGTCGAGATCCTACAAGCTAAGCTGCACTAGCACTGCCCAGCCAAGAGGCTTGAAGCCATCCAAGGGCACAGTCGCCTGCAAAGACAAGATGCAGGCAAGAGACCACAAATACCCAAGGACCTGAAAAAGCTTGCTGAGCTCACCTGGATGCCCTGCGGGCGAATCCACAACTCGCATCTGCCCAGGCTATACTCAATGCCAGAGCACCCTTCCTGTGCTCTGCAAGCTTCTTTGCATTCCTCGGTACTTTGGCTTCCCTTCTGCCAACTTCTCAAGAACTGAAACGACTTCCCAGCTTGTTCAGATTTTGGCTGAAGTCCGAGCGGCCGCCTCCGACGAAGAGCCTGTCGCTGGGAGTCGCTTCAGGCACAAAGGGTTTCTTTTACAGGAGTTACAGCCGGTCCTGGCGCAACAACATAGTTCTGAGGATTATTGTCCGTCGTGCTTGAGCCCCGGCATGCGCGGTTGTCCCCATCAATCTTGGTGAACTCAAGCCTTTTGACCGCGGCGGACAGTTGATTGGTTGAGAGGCAATGCACCCTGCAATATGGGTAGCAGCAATGTAATGCAGTCTCAGAAGCTTGAGGCACTGGAATCCGGCTGCTGCAACTGATGCTTGGATTTCATGCGTCCAGACTTCACATCGTGTGTTGATGAACTCGATACCTCCACATCAAAAGGTATTCACATGTTTAGCGCGTAGCAGGCAACTCTTGTGATTCCGGGCACATCCTGCCTGTGCAAGTAGCATTGCTTCTGCACAGTTGCTTGCATTCACTCAGGGAATCGACGGTGTGCACCATTTTATAACTGGGCGAATCATCTGCCGCACTTTCGCCACGACAGGCACGGTCGACGCCAGCATCAACTGCAATGAAATCCGAGATCTCGTAGCTGTAACAGGAGTATCCATCCAAGCCTCTGCGTGAGTTGATGAGCACGCGTAAAAACTGAAGGCAAGCTTAATCAAAGCACATGTACTCCGGCACAGAAATGGAAGTCTTCAAGATCCACTGAGCCTGAGGCTGATGCTTGCCTCAATCCCGCCCGCACGAGTCCAAATCTCACATCTGCCAGAAGTGTGATACTCCATACCCTTGCAACCGGCCGTGCTCTCACAGAGATCTTGGCAAGCAGTCAAGCTGGCCACTCCCTCGTCAGGGCACACTGTGCGGAAGGCGCTACATGAGGCATCTTGTGTTTCATATTTGACCATCTTGGCAATCCACGCCTGGTTCACTGTGAAGTACGAAGCCAAGTTGTCACCCGGCGACTTTCCACGGCAAGCTCGATTAATGCCACCATCAACAGGAAGCCACTCGGGAGAAGAGACCGAGACAGCGAGGTGATCCTTGGAATAGCCCTATGCACTGTAGTTTACGCTATCCTTATTTCACAGCACAGAAGTTTAGAGCGAATCCATGCCAGACAATGTCAACAGCCGGCGCAGTGAAGGAGTTTTTTGCAGAAAGGCCAAGCCTTCAGCAAAGCAAGTAATGACCGCATCTGCTCAAGATGATGAAAGTTGGCCGTGCCTGCCGTTCGAGGACATGACTCGTTCTTGGCAACAGCTGCAGCAGCCACAGTGACTATGGCAAATCTCAGCCACAACCTCAGGCGGGAATGCTCACAAGAAGCTACAACAGCAAGATACAAAGTTCAAACTGGCGAACACCAGGTCACCAGGGCAAACAAGTCACTTGCACATGGCTGACTTGCCTTCTTAACCTGGCCCCTGCTGTACATGTCAGCCTTGAGCCACAATCGCCCGTTGGATGGATGCAAGCAATCTTTGCATTCAACAGTCTACCAAGACACAGGAATGCACGTATAAACAATTGTCCGCAGCAGCATACTTTCCCATTTCGATGCAACGCACAACTCATGTCCAGCCAGCATGAATGCACCTCTTGATCCCATGATATTGTTGGCGAATAAGCTGCCTGAGGAACGGAAAAGTCCTCATCAGGTTCTCTGATCGGAATCTCTGTTGATGCCGGATATGCGGATATGCCAACTTGCAGGACACCCTGCTGACTGTCAGAAACTCGATGCAACAAGCCATTCCTCAAGCTTCTCTTCCAGCTGTTCCACCCGATCCTGACCATGGCTTGGCATATTCCGCGAATACTCGCGCTGCAGATAACATGGGAGTCAATGCATTCATTCTCCTTCAGGGCTGTCGTTGGTTCCCGAAGTGCACCATAATAGTTCCAAAGCTGTCCTTGCCTCACGTGCCACTGCATGACTGCATGACTTTCTGGGCAAAATACACACCGTCAACTGACATGACTGCAGTGCGGACATATCTTCCCGAAGCCGCGCCATGGCTGCCTGCCAACACGCAAATATCGTATTTTGCCTTCGAACCACTAGGCCCTGCCACATGGATAACAAAATGCAGGCAGGGTCTTGAAAAATTTACATGAGCGGGGTTGTCCCCTGTAACCGGCAAAGTTTACGTCAACACAGCAAGGCAGGCCTCCAAGTCCGCACGTAACTCCGCCATCGCAATTGCATGTCACTAGAATGATTAAGTTCTGCCAGGTCTTTGCAGGCCACTACAAAATCTTCAACTTGTCTGTACTATTGAAAGTAATCTTGAACATTGCACCGTAGATTAGCACAGTATCGTTGCAAACAAACTTGCATGATCGCAATGCATCAGAATGTCAACTAATTCTGAATCGGCACAGAACCTCGCAGCTCCAGAACACACAAGTAACTTCTAAGTTGACAGATAGCGATTCGCGGCCCAAACCATTCTAAGCTCATGAAATATGGCTGCAACGAAATCTTTGCTGCAGACATGTTGCGCCTACTAAGGCCACGGACATTTGCGCTGCCATCCCCTGCATCATTTCACACAAGCAAGAATCAACTAAACATTGCGACATTCAAACGTCTGCAAAATTCAGACATTGCGCCGTCTACCTAGCTTCACGCATGAAGCGTAGCTCAGGAAATTTGACGTGCACGGTCTCAGATCTCCATTGATCCCCGAGCCTGTGTGATGTCGTATACGTAAGCAACCACCTGCACAAACAGAAGCCTGCACTCACCCACAACAGGCCAAAGCACACTTGAATTGCACTTGCGGCCTTCGACATGGGAAACACACTGAATTGGAATAAAAGCAGTGGGAACTTAGACCATGTCATGTACTTGAAGTCATGAAGCATGCTTGGGCTCGGTATCGAGAAATACAAGGCCTATGCGAGAAAATGATAGCACATGACAAGATGTTAGATGCGCTGCAAATCATTAAGCACAAGCTTTTGCTTCAGAGCCAATAATGTGCAGGATGTGTACAACAACCTGAACATGGCGTTTAACCCTGACCATGCATCGTGGACATGCACAATGATGGATCACATAAACAATCTTTCTGCCGGGTCACCACATCGATGTAACCAAATGATTCCATCGACTGCAACAACACAGTATACGCGCTGAAATCCAGCAAAGGTGTCCGGCAATGCATGGGCGGAATGAACAACATGGCTCGCACGAAAAACAATTGGCGTGTCAAGCATGTTGAAATACGCACCACTGGGTTTGGCCTCCAAACAAACAATGTCCATCCCCTCTTTAGAATACCACAATGACGTCTGGGAACCCCATTTTATAGCATAAAATGAAAAACGGGGTAGCCTTACACCTCCCATGAACATCATCTTGGATTATGAAACTTGAAGCGGGGCCCCTCATCTCATACTGGGCCCAGAAAACGACAACAATTATGAAATGGGGGGGAGCCATTGGCAAACATAAATACTTTTCAAAAATGGATTTCAAAAATCCAATCTATTCGAAATTGAAATCTTCCATCAAGATATGTGCAATCAGACAATCGGTATATCATATAAGCCAAAGTTGCACACGCGAACGTTTTTCAACATGGGGTCGGACGCACTCCCGTGACCACAGCACAACGGCTGGGGTAGGCTCTCGCTCGTTTTGAGCTCGAACTTGAACTGACCTCTACGGACCTGGTGTGCACCTCTGACCTCTACGGACCTGCCTGAACCTGTGCACACGAATGGCCACGGATGTGGCCTGGCAGGTGCAATGAAATTGCACTTTCTCAGCACTCGATGCATGACAATGCAGCTTTGGACTGCATTACACGGGTTGGGTTAGGGATGGGTTTTTGAACAATGCCAGGTTTGGCATTGCGGACACTGGCGACACAAAGTTGGGTGGGCCAGGGAGGGTACAACTTTGTGCCCCTATCTCCCGACTTGAGATGTCACACGCACATCAAGATTGTTCACAAAAGTTCTATCCCAAATAGTTATGCTTGCTCACAATATAAAATGTATTCATCCAAATTTATCAATCTGAATGAAAACATATAAAATCCGAAGTGCAGTAGCGGACTTTCATTTTTCCGATGGATCCAAAGCCAATCCAGCTGTCCCTGAGTCAGACATTTGTGTGGAGCGACCCGTGTGGCCCCTCCCACAAATGAGCATTGAAGGCTGGATAGGCTGCATAAAGGCGGCATACCCAGGAAGAACAATCCGGGCGTGCTTAGAGCAGGCAGGGATCACGATTCGAACCCGACGCAAGCGACATTGTTTTGAAGTTGTCAAGCCCAAGTATGTTCGCGGAGTCCGTCAAGGACCATGCAGTGGCAAGAGACGTCCTTGGTAACACTTCGTGGCTTGACCAGGTAGTGTGGATGACCAAGGTGCAGAGGTGCACGCGGAGAATGAAGAGACACAGGCGAGAAGCAGTTTCGCCGTAATGCATGGCACGTGTGGCCATGCACTGCTGGGGCAAGATACGGCCGGAGCCTATGAATGTGTATCAGAAGCTGCAGCAACGTACCCAAGTAGGCGGGTTAGAGACTAGACCCCAAAGTAAAGAGGTGAGGTAGGGCGGGAAAATGGCAGTGCGAGGACAGATTTGCAGGGTAGTGAAGACAGGCGGGGAAGGCATCCCCGATGCGGTGAAGTGAGGCCAAACAGGCTGTTGCAGCAAATCTGAGCAAGACAAGAATCCTGAATCAGGGCGCGAGGACTAGACCCCAACTTATAGCCCTAGCAACTTTTTGCACACTGGTCTATGAAGATATGTTTCACACTCTCCAAAGTTGATATATCAGGGAAGCCTCAGCTGAAATCAAAACAGCGCGAGACATGTAAATCATCCCATAACATATCAATCCAATCAACTCAATATAATCAAAAGGATTTATAAAATCCAAATCATTCAAAACTGAATCACATCACAGA